AAACTTCCAAGGCTTCGAGCATAGTCCGTACACAAAACGACGTCCGAAAGTAGCCGAAATACCGCCATTTAAACGCGCCACCATGCGCACCGACAGCGTTGAGTTCCTCACAGATCCCGAATTTGATGATCACAGCAAGCCCGGCAGTCCTTTTGCGCGTCGCAAGCCGAAAACACCAACAACACCAGCGAGCGCAACAACTGCACTCGCCGACAGTCCATTGGCGCCAGCTGTGGAAGATTACTTCGGTAGAGTGCCAAAGCCGCGTGACTCCATGTCAGACGAAAGTGATTTCCAGGTGGTGGTCGATGAGGAGAACTCCTCCTTAGTTGATTTGCACAACACATCGTCGAGTGGTGGTGATAATTCGGCGACGAATTTGGAACGCGCCAGACGTAAGAAACGACTGAACTCGACGAATAGACGTGCGAGTGGTAATTTTACAGCCGCTGCAGCCGCGGCTGGCGAGTCTTCTTCCACTTCGTCCGACAGGGATCCCATTGTGGTGGTGCACAAGCCAATGCGCGAAACACTTTTCTAAGTGCGCTACAAGGCGACCTGTCTGAAGCTAGCGGAAAGGCCGTCCCACGCACATGTTTATGTGTGTGTGTGTGTTGCTGCGTTCAGCGAAAAGTATTTAACAATTAATAGTATATTGTAAAATAATAGTTATGTTATTAGTCGTGTGACGCTTAGAAAGTTGTATTTGTATTTGTTTTTTACTTTGTAAACAAAAACAATAATGAAATAATTCAAAAGACGTTACTAGTATCATGATTAATTTAGTAAATTGATTTAAGAAATTTTAATGTAAATTTTTTATTCCTTGAAGTACCCTGTGCTAGTTATGGTTTGTGCATAGACTAAACTAGTATTCACACTAATTGCTGTTGTCGATGGTTTGGCGTAACTTCACTCACAGATGTCGCCGTTATCCATCATTTGGTTGTTATCTCTGCTAGCATAGGTTCACGAAATGGCTGTACATTTTTGCCAGCCAAGCAGCCGCCTACTTACGGCTCCTGTTCGCCTGGTGAAACTGGTAGTTTGTGCACGCGGCGATTTTTCAGGCGACGCCGCCAGCAACCGGGCAGAGTTGTGTGAGTGAGTGCGCAGTTGCTGTGCAGCATGGAATTTAGGGGGAATTTCGTTGTTTGGCGAAAAATTAAATAGTTTTTTAAATTAAATATTTGAAAAATTGTTATTATTTAATTTTATAAATTTTATATTTTAAATAAATTTGTTTTTAGTAAATATTTAACTTGAAACATATATTGATGATGGATGAAGTATTAAATAAAAATATGAAAAATTATTTTAATGAGAAATAATAAAATGGAACTATTTGTTGGTAAATAACCGACTTTTTTTTTGCTGATGAATGTAAGGGGCAGGTTTGAGAGTGTATTAGTAATGGAAATGATATCCAGTTTCTCTTAAAAAACATTATTTAACCGGAAATAACAAAATTTGTGCTATGTTATTATTGCAAAAAACAGACTTAATTTTAATAATTTCCATTTTTATTTGCAAAAGTGAAATTGTGGAGAAATCACTAAAATTAATTAATAAAAAAATTATAAATTTAAAATTTTTAATNTTTTTAATGATAAATTTTGTGTTAAACTCAAAAGGAATGTAAAAGTTTAATTGGGGAATTCGAAAAAGAAAATATTAGAATAGAAAGTAATTTAAAATTTTATTAAAAATCAAATCAGAATTTATAATTTTACAATTAATTAAAAAAATTAAAATTTTTAATGCAATCTTACTAATTTTAAGTGCCTACGCTCAAGAAGAGTTTTAAGGCTTGGTGGAGTAAAATTATGTATTATTAGTAATGAAAATAAAATCTTTTTTTTTTTGGAAATCATTAATTTTACGGAAAATTAAAATTTCGGGAACAAAAATTAAGTAATAATTGAATAAATTGATAAATCATAATTTAAATTAATAATTTTAAAATTTTGTCTAAATAAATATTTTATATATTTTTTGTGCCTAAATCCAAAAGCAGTTTTTTGAGATCTAGTAGAGTGACATCATTAGTCTAGTAAAAAATGTTCTTTAGTTCCCAAACCTTAAACCCAAGCAATCCAACTAAAACTCAGCGTTTATATTTCGATTTAATTTATTTATTATTTTAATTTTTAATTAAATTAAATAAAATTTTAAAAATATTTTAAGCATAGCAGTTAAACTTTTAAAATTTCTATACAATAAAACTAAAATGTACTGATATACATACATATTTGCTTGCAACGCAACATATGCAGTGTATTTTCAAAACTATTTGAGCTTAATAAGTTGAAACAAAAATTGGTGTGAGTTTTGAAGTTTAACTGAAATTTAAATTTTGCAACTATTCTTTAAAGTAAATACACATACATGTATATATGTACAGTTACACATCTATAAATGTACAGTTATACATGTATGGACATATGTATGCATTTTTGCGCGTTTTGCTTACAGGCAGCATATGTTATATTTACGCAATATTTGTTGTTGCTTTTTAATACAAACGAAAAGTTCAGCTAACTCGATTAACTATTATGCAATAAATTTAGTAATTTTGTAGTTAAATAAGCTACATATGTATGTACGTATTTTATATAATATACGTTGAACAAAAGGAAATGGCGTAGGAAACGAAAAATTAGGAAATGAAAGGTAAAAAGTAAAGCGAAGCGTAAATATTTTTCACTAAACTAGAAAAAAATGCTTCAAAACTTGTTTATGTATGTACGTATGTATGCATAAAAGATAACTTTGGTATTACGCTAAAATTACATTAAATACATTAAAATTACACACAAACAAAATTACTTTCATTAAACTAGTTAGAAAGGAAACAATTTTTTATAGCAAAGAACTGCAATATTTTAAATTTTTAAATTTGTTAATTTATAAAATAAAAGCTTAAAATTTAGAAAAAAAAATAAAAATTAAAAGCAAATGTA